AGGAAATCCCTCGTCTTGAGATATGTCCCGCCATTCCCTCCCCCCTTCTCTTCTCTCTAGGGAGAAACTTTGATCCTAGCTCTTTCCATGGTTGTCGGATACAGTAGGTACTGTACCATAGTTTGCTAGGATTGTTTTTCGTAGATGCATCTTCCATGCACTTCTCATAACATGAAATAACCGGAAAATCTTAGATTGCTGTAAGCCTTTGCCAAAGTAATCGAACTCAGTGCCCGATGCTGATCAGTGCCCTCAGGTGCTGTCAACGCCTCTTCAATGAATTCGGAAATTGAATATGAGACGTTGGGTTATCGTCTGATCTTTGATTGGAAAAAGAATGTGCAATTTCTTCAAAGGTAATCAAAGTCAGTCATCAGGCATCATTTCCCTTGATTCCAGGAACAGAGTATTGGGATGAGTATTGGGGAATCGTTTCACTGTTACGTATCCTCTTCAGTGGCGACGATGCAAAGAGAGCTTTAATGGATAAGTGAACATGTTCTTTTATATAAAAAAAAAATCAAAATTTTGTTTAGCAGGAACAAGTTATTTTGGTGATTTTACGAAGAATCAGCCCGAGACTCATTTCACTCTTTACCATCTTTGGAATTCCTTCAGACTTTGTTTGACTGGAATAAAATGAGCCTATTTGGCATCTGTGTTCTGCAGGAAGGAGTAAAAGGGGCCGATCAGAGATCCCTTTGTTTGATTAGACAGTAGCCGAAAGTGATTGGGTAGGCAATGTAGCGAAAACATGGCCTCCTCGTAATAGCTTTCCCCAATGTGCACACATGGGCCATGGCCCATGAGAGAGGAAATGAAGATAACGATGGGCCCATCCGATCATACGATTTTTCTTTCCCTCCTCGATGCTGTCACACATCCCTCCCTCCTTTATGTTGATGGAAGAATGCTACTCACAGCCTCATGCGAGAATGTTTTCCTTTCCATCAAGTAAGAGCCCAAATTTGTCTTAACACATTCACTGGCAAGCTTCAAGTGGTCAGCCAACTGCCCCTTACCAAGAATTTCAAGATATTTAGAAAATTTTACTAGTTATCACAAAAACTTTCTATCTCTAAAACCATGTTAGCTAAAACCATGTTATGGACATGAAAATTTCAACATACCTTCAGAAATGCCTTCACCATGCGAACAATATATAGCGCAAATGACATTTCCTGTGTATGAATGTCTGTGTGCTGTATTGCACGAACGGCAGTCCGTGTGCAAATATTGACTCTATAGAGTCCAACTTGAACACGAAATGAGCTGAATACCAGGAAGATTGTAAGATCGCTTCACCGACGATTATTAGTTCGGACTTGCGAAAGGAATTAGTTTGCAAACTCCCAGATACTTAAATCCTGCGTTCTTGTTCTCTGATCTTTTCCTTTCTCCAATTAAAACTTTCCTCATCATATTTTCCTTATAAAATGTTGCGTTTAGTTTTTTTCATTATTAGTAAGGTACTTTTTTTTTACTTTTCTCTTAGTAGGGAAATAGTGAAGATCCTTTTTAAACTTTTCTCTACATGAGCAGGGAAATAGTGAAGATCAAGCAACAACTCTCGCGCAGTTATTGTTTTAAATTCTTCGGTGCACGAGTACGTAGATGTTATCTTCATAACGTTGCTTCATATTCTCGGTTGCATTTAATTAATGTAGTAGTTTACGCGGTAGCATGTAGTAGCAACTTATAAATGGTGGCGAGAGAGCGTTTAGAGCAAAATACTCGTAGCAGCACTAAATACTCAACCAATAAATCGACGGATAAACATATAATCTCTGCATAAAGAAAGGATTGTGTTCGCGCCGAGGCAGTCGTGTGCTTTATGGGACTGTATAGTGCATTCATGCTGCTCTGAATATCGTGAGTCATCGTATGCGCAATGATCATTTTAGCGCAAATGGGACTTCATCATGGTTATAGCGAGGAACCGAGTCTGAATTGAACCCCACGATGAATGACTCAATTACAAGTCGGAGGGACGTCGATCATTTTATGATGCGTCGGAGCAATGCTTTCAGGGCTTGCAGTTTCTAGTCTTCCTTCAGCATGAGAAAATGAGGTTTCCTCTCTCTCTCATCAAGTGGATTTCCTAGCTCATATAGTGCATCCCTATTGGGCTGGTGCCAATTCAATTTCCCTTCCTCATCTGGATTCCCTCCTTGCACTTCCCACTTGTCATTCTAGAACCGCCTTTTCCCATGGCCCCACCGCCATTTATTCCGTCTCACATCGTAAAATAATGCCTCCTCTCCGACTACCAATTGCGAGAGGGCTTGGCTACGTCCTCGAGACTAGCACCGAGTACGAGGAAGGTAGAAGAATAATTAAGAAGGTCCGAGTGGAGTGCATCTCAGAGGCCCTCGTGCACTGGCGAATACTCGTTAGGGTCACTCACCTCGTGTATCTATTCACTTGCTACAAAATTGAAAGATTTCAAATTTCAGGCGAGTAATCGCTGACAAGAACTGATCTGATGCCTAACACCAGACTCGACCTCTCGCTGGAGAGTACTTGCCAAGTGTATCAGATTCTTCATATTCTATACCTAGAGATGCCATTCCTATGGATTCATTTTTAAATTATATGGCGTTTTTGAATGTGAAGAAAGTGATCATTCAAACAGTACGGTATGGACTCGAGATTCTGTCGTACATTGTAGTGTGTGCGACTTTTTACACTCTGCATTGAAGCGTGCTTTTTGCCATTTTTTGAGACTTTCGAAAGTTTTATGCTGCCAGCTCCTAGTTTAATAATCTTCTTTTATCGTCTCAAGTTTGCATTGTGTTTTTCCGGCACAAGAAAGGGCCACGCTGGAGGGTTCAGGTTATTGGCGCCTATTTCCGGTACTCATGACATGAGACACCGAATCATTTGTCATATATTCCGACTCATATGCAGAGCGTAAAGCAACAGAATAGGAGAGGAAAACAAGAATTTCGGTGAGGTCGAATTCCAAAGAAGGGAGGGGAACCATCTGGTCTGGGTGTACGTGATGTAGTCGTCGCACTAACGCACGCACACTCGTGATGAATGGGACCCCGTGGACGGTACGGCGAGGCTGTTACCAATCAGAATCTCGGTTCTAGATGACGTCACTCCCCAGCCCACCAATGAGACCGAAGGGGAAGGACAAAGGGGCAGACATGCAACTTCCATGGCCCTTTTCAGGCATGTATCCCCTCCATCTGATATAAAAGAATATGTATTCATAGAGCATCATCTGATGAGACCCTACGCAGTGTATCCTCAGGGTTATAAAAAAAGAAGTGCATACCACCTACCGTATCCCTCGAGTTAAGGAAGGCCTATCATTATCGCAATCAAAGTAGCCACCGCATGAGTCCCCGACTCGCAATGTGGTAGCCGTTTTTCGTTTCGAATCGCCGAAAGAGAAATATGGCTGCAACCGAGTGGTCGCCCATACATAACAGGGATTATGTGGAGATATTTTAACATTCTCCGTATTTAAACATGGAAAGGGAGTCTGGTCTTCCTCTGTATCAGTGGAATGACCGAAGGACTAGCCGTGGGGCAATAAATGCGAGCCATTTTGACCGAAGGGATGGGGTCGACGAATAGTTGGCCCCGTCCCATGTGCATTGTAAGAGAGCAATGACCAGCCCCCTTGCATCACCCTGTCAATTAGGCTTACAACGTGACTTCGTCCTGATGCTGAACTCTGCGTTGGATTGCATATACATTATTCCTTTAAAAAACTAAAAAAAAGCTAGCTGTCGAGGAGCAGCGGGCGGAAGGGATCCATCCATCTTTCCTTCATTGCCTTGTCGAGACTCCTGCGAGAATCCTCTAAAATTAACGTCAGAAAATTTTCATATTCTCCTCCTTGCCGAAATTGCCAAATTTTTCATTGAAAAATGTTTACCTTGATTTCCTGATTCTGGTTCAAATAGGAAGATAGTTTTCCAACTATGTGGAATTCACTGTGACCACAATACGGAATTCTAAGCAATGAAATGGAAAAGTAAGGACTTTATATTCTCAAGAAGCTCGGGGGAGCGTCAAGTTTTTCTGGTGCCTGCTATATTGTCAGTAGTACTTCATCTCGGTCATGGACTAAGTCCATGCATTGTCAGGATCGTTCCGATTTATGGAATGATGAAATCGATTGAAGGTAAAATTTGTAGCACAGGAAAACAGTTCTTTCAACTGTTGGAGTGTTCGACTTTGAAAAGGTAAGGGCATCAATTTATTTTCATCAAGCGGAGGAACTAAGAGATTTAAATAAAAAGTATTGCCTGGACTATGATGTTCCTTTTTATGGGAAGTTTATTTTTTCCTTGATACCATGGAGACCTTCGAGCTATTTTGGTGAGATTTGAATGAAATGAACGCGATTAAGAGCAGATACAAATAGGAATCGTGTTGTACTTCGGCCTACGTCGTCAGCTAATGAATGTTCACGGGTTGGCTTTTCTGAACAATAGCCCGGAGGGGGAAAAGTCGCATAGGTGTGTAACATTTTTTTGTCCAAACACACAAACTTAGCACACCATGTGTACAAAATGATTAAAGCACAAACATGCATGCGTCGCGCCTCACGTCTCTCTTCCCTCTCTGCTTTGAAAAGCCGCCTCTTTTCGGTACCGCCTCTGTACTTCTGCTGTGCATACATGCATGCTTGCGTGCATGCACTGTGAAAGAAGTACCTATTATTGTCTCTTGTAGGGAGTAATGCATGCCAATGCTCTAAATGAGATTGCGACTCATTGTTCGATACGAATTAGACCCTGTCGAAAAATAGTATAAAATAGTATTGTGACGAATTCAAGTGAATTCCTGGAATTTCCGAGATGTCAACTGTATTGTAAGATTGTTGCACCTCTCCCCCCATATTTTTGCGTGCTGCATGTGGGATACTGGTAAATAATCGTGCTCACAATCGTCTTTTCTCTTCTCCTGCAAGGACGTTTAAGATGACGAGCCCTCTTTTTTTTTTTAGCAAATGCAAAACAGCAAACCCCGACAAAATGAGTTAATTACTTTCCGCATGATCCAGAGTCACGAGAAAGGACATCATAGCAAACGCTTGGAATTCTAACTATATTGCGAGTGAGGAAATCATGAATCAATGCCTCAGCTGACTGCATCTATTGTTCCTCATTGAGTCGGCCTGCCTCCCCCTCGTTACGTACCATCCTTTTTGTTTTTTGGACTTCGGTTTTCTTCACTTCATGGGATTGGGAACGTTTATCATACCATTAGCATATCGAGTTCAATCGTATTCATCTAAAAGTTGAGGATAGCCAGCACCGGAAAAAAATTTACATCTTTACATCTTACAAAATTTACAAAATTTAAACTAATGAAATTTACATCGAATAAACCTATTCATATTATACATTCTGGTTTGATGCTTTGGTAAGTCTTTGTTGATCGCATTCTTGGATCAGTGAAATATGATTTTATGTTCGCATTTACGTTAATGTATATATCCTATATTGTTGTTGATGCATGGCCTTTTATTATTTGTGCAGCCATGGAGTATCTGATTGGATATAAATATGTGGATTTCTTTTCTTTTCTCTTACTGGCTGCCCATGGCCAGGGGCGAATGGGTTACGGCGTCGAGGGCGGCAGACCTACACGCGGTATCAAACGCTAGAATTGGAGAAAGAGTTCCATACGAACCATTACCTCACCCGGCGGAGGAGGATCGAGATGGCGCACGCTCTTTGCCTCACGGAGCGACAGATCAAGATCTGGTTCCAGAACAGACGGATGAAATTGAAGAAGGAGATTCAAGCCATCAAGGAATTGAACGAGCAGGAGAAGCACGCCCAGGCGGCAAAGGTGGCGGCAGCGGCAGCAGCGGCTGCGGCCGCTGCTGGTCCGGGACACGGACCTGGACCCGAGACTAGCGTCTCCGGTCCGCCGCCTTCTGCTCAGAATTAACAACTCACCTCCGCAATTTTGATCTCATTTCTACCACTCCTCCTCCCAACTTCTACTCCTTCGCCAAGGTTAGCCTCCTTGCTCCTTGCAGCCTTCATTTTCGGCGCATTGCTATCATTACCAAAGGTTAAAGTTAGGCCTGCCCCTTGGAATTCTGCGATATCATCCATGGAATCTCATTCTGTAATTAACATGCCATGTAGAAGCGAGAGAAATACATTTCGCACGAGAACCTACAAAAAAGCAAGTAATCTACTGTGTTCACAAGGAGGGAATTATTGAACGAGAGTCATGAGTACACTTGAACTTGAAATTCTTGAGAATATAAATAAGGAGACTTAAGGGGCGGGGTCACTGATCCGAGGGGCAGGCGGCAGCGTTCTACCGTTCAGAGTGCCTAAGAGAAAATGGGAAGGTCACAAAGGTAGTCCTACGCAGGTCACTCCTAAGCTCCTGCAGTTCTTACAGAGCACTGCAATATCCTGTATACGAAACTGAAAGCATTTGGCATGCTGGAAAAGCTGAAAGATAGCGAATCTCTTACTTTGCCCTCGACGGCATATACGTGAAGGAGAGTGCCTTTCTTGACGTTCACTTGTTAGCCATTTCTGCCAGCAAATGAGTTTCAGGTAAAAAGTCTCACAGACACTTGGATTTCAGACGTTTCTTAATCAAATTGCAAATTCAATAGCATAAATGTAATCACCTGTATCCTTGCTTCAGAGTATTTTTCCAAGGATTGCACCAGCCTCCGCGAAAACCTCAGCGTCTTGATTTTATTTCTGGAATCGTAGAAGTTGGCAGAAGGGGTGCATATGACGAGGTGGGTTACGCTGAATGGAATGTTATGCACTATGCATGAACGTGTGATAGTTTTGAATTAATCCGTTCCAATGGTTCCAGATCACCGGCGAACGCGCGCCTGGTATGACGACAAGACAATGGAAAAACCTGTTCCGCCTCGCAGTCGAGCATTCTCGATATATGCAGTATATGCAGGCTACCTGCGTAAAATTCCAACCCTTTCCTCGCGCAGATATTCCATTTTTTCCAATTTTGTGGGGCTGGCTTTCATTGAAATCACGATTGCGGAAAATCCCGATCAAGGACTTCTTCCCTGAGCCTATTTTGCTGGCAGACCTCGCGCCTTTCAGTGATTCCAGCGTGCACCTATATATTTTTTTGCCACGTCTCGATTTCTTCTCTCTTTTAACATCTGCAAGCACCCACCATGAACAGCACGTTCATCGCTTGAGCGATTCTCCTTTTAAATGTGTCTCTTGTCTCAGTTTCTTTGAGCGTCCTTCGCACGAAGGATCTCCAGACGTGCGACCTATACCTATCAGTCTTCATCAATAGCGTGTAATGGCTAAATCACAATTGATGCTTAATCTACCTACCATCTTCAGGGAAAGCATTTAAATGAATGGAGAGTGGTTCTACCGAGTGATTTCTCTCAATGCCCTGAGAGTGACAAGCGTACATCTCCATGTAGTAGCACATAACATTGAATCAACATGGAATACACATTGAATCAACATCCGGACGTGGAATCAGTATTGGATCAATGCTGATACAATGTTATGTGATACTAAGGATCGGACATTTCCTAGTTTTCCTACCAGCGAATGATTGACCACGAATTTCAGATAATATGCACAGCAAAATAAAGAGCTCCATTGAGGTCCAAACATGTGTAAGGGGTGTTTCACACTTTGCGTGTCTTGCGTCCTTAGCTTAATGCATGGGCAGGTAAGCGGACGCACGCGTGCACACGCGTGTCCACTTACATGCAAGGGTTTTCGCAAACTGCAAGGCTTGCGTGTGGAAAGGGGATGAGTTCAACTGAAAACTTCACGCGTACGTCTGCTTACCTGCCCAAGCATTGACGCAAGGACGCTTGACACGCAAAATGTGAAACGCCCTTAAGAGTATACAAGTAAGAGTGTTATGATCTATTAAGCATACGTTTCTGGGGAGGGTTGCAGTTATTCTTTAATTCTATCAAGCAAGTTTACTTGGAAACGTTTCACATCGAACAAGGTAAGGCAAATACTCAGTGTGCCTTCAGATTTATTTCTTTGACGGTACAGGGTGGACCATAAAAAGGTAACCGAATCCAAATGTACAATTATAATTTAAAATGATTTTTATTTATGTATACACACATTTTAACTGTACTTGACCTGATCCATAGCTTCGAAAATAGTGTTCGACAATCCATACATGTTCCTCAACAGAATATTGAGGCATAATAATTATCCAATGTTGCCCTGAAATTAAGAAAAAATACTCATTTTCAGTTACCTTTTATTTTACTCACCCTGCATAAGCTTACGATGGACGTGAGCTAACAATGGTCGTGGGAGTTCAAATATCTGGGTTTCCAGTATGAAATTACACATCTTAGCAGGGTTTCTGTATATTTGGTTGCTACAAGAAACTCGATCTCAGGTCAGGAAAAATTTGGTCCATGGTCGCTAATGACAGCTAAAGTTTCAAGTTCGACAAGTAAAAGGATTGATATCTCCAAACTGTCAACTGACTGTCAACTGCGGTCTGGACCTGACAAGCACTGAGCTGTGAAGGAACCTGGAAGGCCAGTCAAGACAATTCAATAGCTATCAAAAAGGAGTATGGCGAAAGGAAGAAAGAAAATACAGCGAACTACTTACAACTCTGGAACCACCTTCCCCAAAGATACAAAGGAAGAGCGAAATGACCTGAAACACTTCTAAACTTTTGTTAAATATAGAATACTTCTCGGGAAAAAAAACACTTCTTCGGTGTGTGTGTGGGGGGGGGGGGGGGGGAAACCTAAACCCAAAAATGTGGGGGAAAATGTATTTCAACCGCAGCCACAAGAGTGTGATGATATGGATAGCCTTCCCGCAAACCACCAACCATCCGCACATGTATCGTTTACCGAATCCTCATCTATTCTTCTCCTCCCCTTTTATTTCTTCTTTTCCCCCGTTATTTCGTTTTCACCAATCTCTGATGGTGTCAAGTTCGCTACTGGACGCTACGAGTCCAGTTTCCTCTTATTTCTCTTCGCCTGGGAATTACCGCTTCCTTTGTAAGTCGTACATGGTCTTTTCAGCTGATCTCGAATACCGTAAGCGTAATTGTTTCGGCGAGTGTAAGCTCCCTTACAAAACGCCCACCTACTTCCACCTGGCTGAACGCAACCAGGTGGATAGGGGGTGGATTTTGAACCAAGTGGACGTCCCATCAGGTGGAAATTCACACATGTGAATTTCGCACACATGTATTTCGAGCCAAGCGGATTTTCCCTCCCGGGTGGATCTTTCCCCGGGTGGACATCGCTCCAACAGGTGGAAATATGCCTAGGGGACATCCACCTGGTTCTAAATAAACTAAATCCACATGGGAGGTGGATGTTTTGTAAGGGCTGAAAAGTCGGCGTTCTGGGTCCCCGTCCTGGTATATTAAAAAAATTCTCGGGAGGGGGAGTGAAGGGAGTAAAACCGCAACAGAAGTGCAAGGAAAAAAAACTGGTCGCAAATAGAAATTGGAAGTTAGTGGCAGGGAAAATGAAACCTTGAGCGTCGAAAGTGCCAGGTCTGGCAGGGTCATTCCAGAATAGGTTGACATGCTAGGTCTAAATGTCAGTATCGGTAGGTGTCGTGACTCACGCCAAAAGGATGGAGAAGGATAGAGATGGGAGTTGGAGGTCAAATGAGATCACACAACGCGTGACCATCGACGAGGATGAATAAGTTCTTGACGACTGTGGGGCAGAATCCGTCAGATTTTCCTTCCTATATATTTTCCTCTTTTTTTTATTATTTTCTTCGGATTTCATGGGAATATCAATACCCGAGAAAACTTTTTTGAAAACCAAAAGATTGGGATTTTCCCGAGTTTGTTTTGTACGTGTGAATATTTACTTTTACATTCATAATGATAATAGATATATCTGGTTATGCATAATAACAAATTGGATGATTAGATTTGTTGCCAAATCCGCATCCGAGAACTCATAGGCCTATGTGAAGGGGGAAGGAGAGAAGAGTAAAAGAAACACAAGAGAGATAGGGTTCGATTGGTCTGCTACAGGAACCCTTTTTCTTCCTCTTATTTTTAGGATAAACAGAGATTACTTTTAACAGCAACTGTGCTTTAACAGTTAATAGAAGACTGCATTGAGTAAAAACGATACCGAAGAGCAGTCTTTATTTTATGTACTAATTTTTATTCCCGACTTTCGAAGGACGCGGCAAATTTTCCTCCTAAAGAAAGGAAAAGAGTGGTACGAAATGAGCTAAAATCACGTTCGTGACTATTCAGCGTGTCGTGGATGTAATGGTCAATATGAAATTAAGTTGACAGCTCAGACTCATTGCATTCGCAATCTTGAGAAATGGCCAGGCAGCAATTCAGTGTCTTACAAGCGAATAAAATGAGGTGGCGCCGAGCATGAAAACAGCGGGTGAGAGCAGCGCGCGACATCTGCACTCACCTAACGAAACTAGAATCTTTGAAATCTCACCGCCGAAGCCGCTTGCGTCGCAGGGGCTCGGCGGCGGAGGAATACAAAGCAGAGGGGGCGGGGTTTAACGACCGCGGAAGGGTCTGATTCCATGATGGCAGAGAAATGAAGGAGACCATCCGCGACTGGTTCACTCAGCCTCCGTCAGTATGTTCGTTGCATCCTTCGCAGCACTCCACATGATTATTTATCGAAAAATAAATAGAAAATTTGTCTCGTAACGAGGCACTTCGGTCAATCATCGATCACCAACATTCGAAGCGTTGAATGATGAATATTTTAAGCCTATACCAGGAGACAACAGAAAGCACATTTATGGGTCATTGCCGTGGTTACCGCGTTTTCCTCGTAAAGCACTCGACTCATTGCCCTCAACCTCCATTTCCTTACCCATTCCCCTTTCTTGTCTCTATTCCTTCGCGAGCTATAACTTTCGGAATCCTCACTGTGCAATGAGAGTGTGCCAACCTGAGCATGCTCAAGT